GAAGTGGAGGGGCAGCCAACAAGAAAGAGAGGGCCCCATGAGATGGGCCGACAGTGTGGTTAATGATATGCTCAGGCATGGGAACACGTGGGACGTGGGTGCAGCCTCGTGCAGGGTTCTGTTCTGTTGCGCACAGGGTTGCTATGGTCGGAGCCAGATGGATGGCACCTCATAACAACAACAACAACAACAACAACAACAAACATATAGTGAAAGTGGGAACCCTGAATCAAGAAGACTGGGGAGCATGGGTGCATTTGAATTGCGGTGCTGGCGGAGAATAATGAAAGGGCCACGGGGTGGCAGAAGAACAAGTAAATCCGCCTTGGAAGACGCATGCCTGGAATGCTTCTTGGAAGGGAGCGTGGCTAGCTCTCATCTCCACTACTCTGAGCAGGTGACCTTCCAGAGAGCAAAAGAACCATTGTACCAGCCGTGCTCCTGAGAGCTTTGTTTTTTCCTCGCTGTTTTTGTTTTTTAGAGGTTATTGTAAGATGTCCTCAAGTGGATTCTTGACCTATAATAACCTTATAAAACAGTAAGGTTTTATGACCTTATAAAACAGTAAGCGCTTATAGAACAGGAAGGGTTTATGACCTTATAAAACAGTAAGCACTTATAGAACAGTAGGGGTTTATGACCTTATAAAACAGTAAGCGCTTATAGAACAGTAGGGGTTTATGACCTTATAAAACAGTAAGGGTTTCCTGGTCGTGACCTCTATGGGGCAGATTGGCAGGTCTTTCTCCGACTGAGCTGCTGGGTGACTTTCATGTCAACGCTTTGGTTCACAGCCCACTGCTTTGCTTCTCTGGGTAAAATGAATTCTTGCCTGGGTGCTGTCCTCACCTACGTTCTGATTTCTTGTCTTAGGCGCACACTGCTCCCTTATACCATCTTAGCCTCAACTACTCTGAACCCCTTGCTAGCTTCTCAAATGTGTAGGGTAACGCCATCATAAGGTCTTGGTCCTCACTGTAGCTATCAAAATCAAAATAGTTGCCAGCAAGTTGATTCTGACATGTTTGCAGGCCTGTGTTTACAGCGTAGGATCACTCCATAGGCTTTCCATTGCTTTGGCCTTCCAGAAGTAAATCACAGAGCTTTGCTTCTGCGGCATCATTGGATGAGCTTGAATGTCCAGACTTTAGGAACATTCTATGTTTTGTACTTGTAAGTCTGCCATGAATTGTGTTTCAAACTTTTAACAGAATAAAGTATATAAAATTAATATTTCTTACAACCTCTCATTGACTGCCATCGAGTCGATTCTGACTCATGGCAACCCAATAGGACAGTGCAGAACTGCTCCTGCGGGTTTCCAAGACTGCAGCTTATTATAGGAGTGGAAAACCTCATCTTCCTCCCATGCGGTGGCTGGTGGTTTCAAACTGCGAACCACAGGGTTAGCAGCCCGAACAGTAACCACTATGCCACCAAGGCTCCCTTTGTTACAATCAAAGGCAATTTAAAATGAGCCCTGGTGGCTTAGTGGGCTGTGTGTTGGCCTCCTAATCACAAGCTCAGCAGTGGTACTTTGAACTGCTGGTATTCTTCTCCCACGATGACAGCCTCAAACACTCAAAGGGGCAGTTCTATTCTGTCCTATAGCATCTCTATGAGGGGAATCAATTTGGTGACAATGGGTTGGATATTTAAGTTGTAAGGCAATTGGAAGGAGCCCTTGTGGCACAGTGGTTAAGTTCTTGACTGCAACCCAGCCACTGTGCATGGGAAAGAGGTGACAGGGTGATACTTAAAGATTATGACCTAAGAAACCCCATAGCGTAGTTCTGTTCTGTCTGATAAGGTGCCTGTGGATTGGAATTGACTTGTGAACCAGAGTCATTCATGACCCATGAACAAGCAGATGGATTTTGGGCTGCCACTTATTTCTAGCTCCAACCCAAGAACAGCTCGTTCTTCTAGCATGGCCCTGTTGGATACTCACCTTCATTAAGAGATCACTGAAGATAAGGGTGCTACAGCAAAGCGGTGAAGAAAGCAGATGGTGCTTGACTATCAAGTGGAGTAGTGGCTGGGGTCTTAAATTCTTGTGTTAAAACAAGTAGCCATCTACGTGAGGCATCAACTAAGTCGACAAGGAAGAAGCACACCAGCCTGTGTGATCCAAAGATGACAATCACAAAATCCAAATATGATGAAGGGAGAAATATCAGAGCTTAAATTGTGAACACCCAATTTGTGGAAGGTTATGGAGGACAGTGGGAGCCCAAATCCATCTGTAGAGTGTCTAGTCAGATCAAGCCTCTGGCACACCCCCTCTGGCCACAGTCGAGGGACATGAACAGTTTTGCTATCAGTCAGAGATTATTATAAACATAATTATGGTGGATGGAACTATGGTATAATATAGCTGATCAATTGACCTCCCTCTTGACCCGACCTGAATTTGCTCTATGTTTAAATACTACTCTCTTTCTACATGACAAAAAATTTCCTCCCTGGATTATCTTAATAGTGCTGGTAGTCTTTTCTTTCTTACTCTTCATATTTACATTATTATTCTTTCGGTGTCATTTGTTTCTGTCAGATTTCCTAGTTTATGAAGCACAGAAGGAGTGGATGCATAGAGACAATTGGATGCAATGGTTTATTGGGGATGGGGGAGGGAGGGTAAGTGGAATTGGGGATCAAATAATGAATGTAGGAAGGGGAGGGAGCACTAGAACTGATTGTGATGATGTATAGACAACTCTTTTTTAAAAGCAACTTAACTATGGAAGGGGACGATCTGTGAATTTTGTATCAATAAAACTATTAAAAAATTGAAATGGACTCGACACAGAACAACCGTTAACAAAGGCCTTTTGAGAAATATGATGCTCAGGGAAATTGGATCTGTCAATTGCTTTGTTGATTTCTTGCCCAGAATGACCATCACTGTTACCCAGACATGCCTGGACACAAATAGGATCAGTCAAACTTTATGCTCTGTTAAAATTCTTTGTTTAATCAATGTGGACATTTTTGTGTGCAAGCCATAATTATGAAAAGAGCACTTGCCAGTAGTTTTCTATGTAGAGAATGTACTTTTTTCCTTCTTCCTTAAGTTCCCTGCTTACTTGAGTCTAACCATTCAAATCAGCGGGTTCCCTCCCACCCACTTGGCCACCTCTACCACAGTGATTTTTTCCTTCCTCATTTCCTGTGTTTATGGTAAGTGGAAATTATTGGGCATTGGTCATTTTTCCAATATATACCTCATTTTCCTAAGTGTGTATAATGAGTTTCCTTGGACCTCAAAGGTTGTCTAAGGAAGGAACACACCAGTTTGTGAGATCCAAGGATTATAAGTAATGAAATGTAAACCCAGAGGAGGGAACCTTACCAGAGTAAAAATTCTAAACATATTTTTCAGAATGCCATAGATAATAGTGGAAACCTCAAATCCATTTGCAGGGTGGCCACATGGATTGAGTCTCTGGGGAGTCCCCACTGACCATAATCTAGGAATGTGAGTAGCCTTAGTATTAGACAAAGAACACTGGAAAGTGGATTTCAGCAATCGTATGTAGTTAGGCTGGTTTGTAACATCTTGTCATTAGATTTCCCCTTTGATCAATTTTGAATTTACTATAGTTTTAAAATATTCTCTGCTTTCTTTTCAATGAGCTTTTCTCAGTTTTATTTGGTCTTTGTTTTATGTGCTTTTCTGTAGATGGAAAATAAAGACATTCTGTGGGGTTTCTTTTGAATGTTTTTCTGTATAGGGAGGTGTGATAGTTTTGGGTGGAGGTTAGCCTGTAAATCAGGTCACAACTTGATTGGAGAGTAACTGAGATAAATGACTCATTGAAACCAGCATCTTTCTCTTTCTCCCTGGTGATCAGATCAGTGTGCTGCTGCCTGAGTTGGCTGCTCTGCACTACCTGTGGGCTGAGCCAACCTGTGGACGGTGGGGGTGGATCATATAGTTGTGCTTATGCTTTGAGGTTCCATTGAGACCCGCTTTGCTCTGCTGCTGTGCTACCCGCCTTTGCTAGCCTAAACATCTCATCTTCCTGCTGTTTCTGTCCCACCTTGCCATGTCTTCTGCCTGTGGGCTGACCGTTCATCTTGCCTGCAAGCAGACTCCACATACCCCACTGACAACTTTGGTGTCTACTTCCTTGACCTTGGACTAGAGGCTGGCATGAGTTGGATGTACCTTCAGCATATTAACTGTTCCACAAAAATGAGTTGAACTGAGCTCTCCATACCGGTGTGTGGACTAAGTAGGTTTTGTATTCCTTCTCTCTCTAGAAACCTATCCCTTTATTTACATAATCACAGGTGTCATAGCTTTGTTTCTCTAGAGAACCCTAAATAACATAGAAGGTCAGGATAGGTGGTTCTATGAAGACAGCAACTGGATTAATAATCACCTGGGGAGATGTAAGGCGTAGGGGGTGGGGGGGATGAGGAGTCAATATTAATGGTTACAATAAAGAACAAAATGTTCCAAAGTTGATTGTGGTGGTGATTTCACAAGCCTGCTTAATATAATTGAACTATTGAATTGTATGATATGTTAATTAAATTTTTTTTAAAGGACTAAGGAAATACTGACATATAAATAACTGCTAGTTAGTATTTTTCAGAGGCTAAAAATCCTCCCTCAGACTCATCTTAGGAATGTCTATAGAATTGTTATTAACACCTTCGACCTTCTTCATAAGTTTAGACATATCAGAGTTTTTGGCCTGGATGAGACAAGGAATCAAAATATGTAAGTATCAGAGACGAGTGTAGATAAGAATCTTTAGAGGAGAATTTGCCCCATTTTAGATCAAGTCAGATCACAGGATGACATGGGGAAATGAACTCATTTTCTATTCCACCACTTCTTTTCCTTGACCTGGCTAGCATAATCATAGACATTTCCTCTCTGCTTAGCTTCAAAGACAACCCATTGCCTTTCAATTCTTATTGGTTTTCAGTCTCCTAAAAGAGCCAATAAAAGAGCTGATGTACAAAACAAAACAAAACAAAGAATCTTTAGGGGAAGAGAATCTTTATTCTTTTTACGAAGCCACAAAAGTGTCGAGCCTTTTCATGTTGGCTTATGGGCAGAACTCTAGCAGAGTGTCACTTGCTAAGCCACAAGGATCTAACCAGCGGTGCTGCCTCTCATTACAAGGACCTGAGACATATGCAGTGGCTTCTGGAGGAAGTCATGGCAACAGTCTCCTTGTTAATACTCTTCAGAAAATGGATAATTAGGATGGCTAACAAGACTGAAAAGAGAAAGACAAGACATGTAAATGTAAAGACTATTTCTAGGATGACACAAGTTTCTATGAAGCTGGCATGAAAGCAAAATCTTTCATTTCCTGGCTGCTTTTACAGTTTGCCTTTCTTACTTTCCCAGTCATGACTTCATAGTACATGTTTTAAGAAACAAACAGTTAAAGAATTAAGATGATATTATTTTGCATGGAACTAAAAAAGAAACCCCAAAACATTTTACTATGAATTTGGTAAAGGTTTACAGAGCAGGTCAGTTTTCTATTCAACAATTCATCCCCTTTTGTTTCACATCATTGACTGCAGTCCCCCGCACAGAGTCACACAGATCTCAATGCACAAATACATTACAAATGTGTTTCTTACTGTTTTGGGAATAAACTACTATATCCTCACTTGACCTCTCCTGTTGAAACACTGAATGAAGATTCTACACTTAATGGATCCATACCAATGAACTCAGACTGATCTAGTCTTACCTTCCTTGCACCACTCCCCCACATGCTTAATCACCATTCCCAGGCATGTTCCTCAGCTCTCTGTCTGTGCACACTAGAACACGCCAGCACTTTGTTATGGGTCACTTCTTCCTGAGCCACCATCTGTACTCACCTTTGGGGATGTCTTGAGCCTAATTTAAGTTATAGGTCTGGAAGCAATAATGGGTGCTGAGGGTGTTTCCAGGGGGTTCCAGTAGGGTCTTGTAAGGCATCTGTCCCAGACAATGGTCCAGATACAGTGCCATATGGCTTCTCAGCATGCATAGTTGGGCTAATCTCCTCAAGTGTGGGTGGCTATACTGATAGTAGATAGTCTTATGGAGTGAGAGGTGAGGCTATTGGGTGGGGTGGCTCAATGGAATGTATGGCTTCAATGTCCCCCTAGTCCTGATTATTAGACCATATGTCATTATGACAAGGATCCATTATTCCCAGTCAACTCCCTCACTTGAGCACTAGACACCCTTCTAGCCCGAGACTTCAGCTGGTGTTGTCGTTCAGTTACCTGTATGAGAAAACTCTTGATTTTGCTTTGGGCAATTTCAGCTCTGTTACTAGAAGAGAGAAGGCTTTCTTTTACAGCAAAAGTGGAGGCTTTGCAGCACTTTATCTGTGTTTCCAAAGGTCTGAGCTTATCTTTTCCCTTTACTGCTTTGTTATTATAAGGAGGACCACTTTCCCTATACTTCTCATCCTGATACAATTACTGAAAAATATCCAACACACAATCATCTAGGACCTTACTTTTCACCCACACTTCATCTATTGGTGGTGATATTTTGGATAGTAACATTGCTGTTTCATGCCGTAAATTAACAGTGGACTTCTTTACGAATAGTGGAAGACTTATCCATACTAGAAGAGACAGAGCAGAGTGCTCACTGCCTTTAGACCTAGTTGGATTTGAGAAGCAATTTAGAAAACTCATCTTTATGATTTTTGTTTCTCTAGGACCACTCTTGGTACCAAATTTATTAGGCCGGGTTCTCAAAATGAAAACAAAAAACAAAATCTGCCAGAAAGTTAATTCTGACTGATAGTGACCATATAGGGCAGAGTATAAAACCCACTGTGGGGTTTTAAGACTGCAAATCTTTCTGGGAGTAGAAAGCCTTATCTTTCTCCCTTGGAGTGGCTGGTGATTTCTAATTGCTCACCTGGTGGTGAGCAGCCCAAGGAGTAACCACTATGTCACCAAGGGTAATTAGAGAAGCAAAACTAGGGTACATATCTATGGATATAGGTAGAGGAGTTTATATCAAGGACAGAATTTATATCAAAGAGTAGCCCACACAGCCACAGAGAGGGCTAACTCAATCCAACTCACATTCATGTGTCAGATGGTGGCCTTTCTGACTCCCATGGTTGCCAGGCTGATGAGCCAGGAAGCAGGAGACAGAAAAGTGAGGTGGGTGGCACAGTGAGTTTGGGCAGCAACAGATGAGGAGCCCACACCAGCAAGAAGAGAGAGAACAACCCTCAAAGCAGTCACATACTTATGAAACATGCTACACTCCTAAGTAGGCATCATCAGTCTGGGCCATGCAAGGACTTCCGAAGGAAGGTCTCGTTGCCAAAATGCAGCACCAAGTCAAGTTGACACCAGTCTCACTATCACACTTAACATTGTGTCTCATCCCTTTCTAAAAGTGGCCATTTTTTCCTTAGTAGTCAGGTAAATTTTAACAATGCTCATACTTTTGTGTTTTTTTGGTCTGACAATAAATTGAAGCAAATAACTTCATCAGACATACTTACAATGAAGCAGGAAGATAACGAACATTTCGGTTTAGGCCATCTATGACCTTCATGTCCTCTGAAGTCAACTGGAAGTCAAAAACCTACGGAGAGAGAGAGAGAGAGAGAGAGATCAGATTATTTTTAGATTATATAATGTCCAATCTTGTGAACATCCAATCAGATCATCACTGTATTGTTGTTAGGTGCCATCAGGTCAAGTCCAGCTCTCAGCCCCACACTACGCACAGCAGGATGTGGCACTGCCCACTCCAGGGCTGCTCTCACAGTCGTTCTGTGCCAGCTCATTGTTGCAGCCACATGTCAACCCATGTCCATACGGTCTCCCTATTTTTGTTGATTCCCTACTCTACCGAGCATGATGTCCTTTTCGGTGACTGGTCTCTTCTGATAATATGCCCAAATGATGTGCCACAAACTCTTTCTTCTTCTCCAGTTAGTCTTCAAAGTGATTCTTGCTTTTCAATACGCTAGGGAGGTCGTGTGCAGAAGACTTGCCTAATGCAATATAAAGTTTTCTTTCTTAGATAATTCTCTGGGGGACTCTTACAGCTCTTATAATAATCCATACATTGTTTGAAGTAAAGTTGTATATATGTTGCCATTATTATTTCCTAAACATTTACATTTTTTTGAGCCCTTGATATCAGCTCCTCTTTTTACCCTACCTCCCCATATCCCATCCTCATGGCCCCTTGATAAATTACTATTATTTTCATATCTTTTTGTTAAAAATCATTTTATTGAGGGCTTATACAACTCTTATCACAACTTCTGTCTCCCTTTCCCTGTGGTTTCTTACCTCCTCCTCTCCCACCCTTCCCTATAACCACCTGGTGTCACTGCTCACATTTCTGTTCCTGTGCGGTTTATCTGACTTGGATTCCATGTGTCCTGAGCTCTTACCGGTACCTGTGTAATGCTCCAGCCTAGCCTGCAGTGACAGGCAGGACTGGGGTCAGGATAATGAGGGGTGAGGAAGCCTCAAGGAACCAAAGGAATATTGCATATTTCATCAATGCTATACTGCACCCTGGTTGACTCATCCCTTCCTTGTGACCCTTCTGTGAGGGATGTCACATTGTCTAGAGATGGGTTTGGGGTACCTGCTCCAATCCTCTCGTTCTCAACAATATGGCTTTGTTTGTTTGTTTGTTTTGGGCCTTCTGATGCCTGTTACCTGATCCTGTCGACACCTCATGATTACACAGGCTGGTGTGCTTCTTCCATATGGGATTGTTGCTTCTCTGCTAGATGGCCACTTGTTTAACTTCAAGCCTTTAAGACCCCAGACACTATATCTTTTGATAGCCAGGTGCCATCAGCTTTCTTCACCACATTTGCTTGTGCACCCCTTTTGTCTTCAGTGATTGTGCTGGGAAGGTGGGCATCACAGAATGCCAGGTTGTTAGAACAAGCGTTCTTGCATTGAGGCAGGGCTTGAGCAGAGGCCCAAAGTCAATCCACGTCCTCAATGTATTGCCATATAAATACATGTACCTATACCAATACCTATATTTTTATGAACTAATATAATTACATAAGTGCATACTTATGTTTGTAGCTCTATCCATAGCTGTGCTTCCTAGATCTTTTCTCTGCTTCCTTTTACCTTCCTCTTCTCCCACCATCACACTCGCCCTTCTTCTGCCTCTTAGTAATTCCTCTCAGCTAGATTGCTGTTTCTTCAACGCCACCAGGATCTCTACGTCTTCTTCGTGTTTATTTTAATTCCCTAGTTGTTCCCTGTCTATGGTGGTGTTTGCTCACTGCTCCTTCCCCTTCCTGCTAAGTCCCTCCAGAACTTTCAACTGTTTCTTTCTCCTCGGGCTTGCTTCCCATGCCTCTTAAATTTCTGGTCTAGCACCAGGAGCACCAGGTGGGTGATTCTACCTGGACATCATCTTGACTCCCTCTTTTGAAGTTTTATTTCTTGACTGCTGCTGGCATGAGCATTGATTACATAGCTAAGCAAAGCACAGTCTTTGATAGTACAATTTGGTACAAAAACAAGTGAACTCTCCAAATACAAACAAACACCTATTTGAAACTAATGAAGAGTCCCTTTGGGCCTCTGCTCACAGAGAGGACAGCAGGGCTGTCCCTAGCCCGAGACATGATGTCCCCTCCCTAGATGACAGCGCTAAAGAGGAACAGCACTGAAGATACTGTTTGGGGAGTGCAGCTGGCCTGACCCGCCCACATGGGGGCAAACCAAGAGGGGAGTGCAACAGACCAGCAATGGGAGCAAAGACATAAAGTCCCTGAGGTATCCGGAATGTAGACTTCTGACTCAGGGGGCAGCGCTTGGCACCCAATTTGAACTGGTTTGGGGATATTTACAAGGGGGAAAACACTGAAAGTCTAAAGGTGCTGGGGATTGGGGCACCAGACTGCTCCATCCTTGACTACAGGAAGAGCAATGGGGTCTTGTAGAAGGCAAGCCCCTCAGACAGGAATGCTGAGGACTAAAAGGGTATAAGTACTGTTAGGTTAGCGCATCCTAGGGTATGGATCCCTGAAAGAACAGGCGAATTGACTAAAGGATCATATCAGAGCCTGCTCACTATTTAACAGAGGGATACTCGCCTATACTGGGTCAGGACAACAGTTAGACTTGGAACTATTCGTATGGTCCCTTTTTTGGTGTCTATATAAGATAGGCAGGATAAGCAATCCTGAGGAGTCTGCAACGGGACCCTTGGTTTGGAGTGGGGCATGGGAGAGTAGGAGGCAGGGGGAGGGGAGCATTTAGCCAATAATGACAGGGACAGGGGAATAGCAAGTGATCTTAAATAGATGGTGAGAAGGGTGTAGCATTCCTGGTGTGTTTGATCAACTGAAATGTATCCAAGAGGAATTACTGAGAAGTGAACAATGGGCAAACATGACAGTGTAGCAGGAGGAAAGAAAAAATAAAAAGAGGAAAGAACAAGAAAGTAAAAGTCATACATATAGGTATAAATATAGATACATATGTAAATACAAGGAAGCAGATAGACTTTGGACCTCCACTTAAATCTTCCCTCAATACAAGAATGGTTTGTTCTAACCTTCCTGACATGATCGCTGAAGACAAAATGGGTGCATAAGCAAATGTGAAGAAAACTGATGGTGCCCAGCTATTAAAATATATAGCATCTGGGGTCTTAAAGGCTTGAAGGTAAACAAACGCCCATCTAGCAGGAAAGCAACAAAGCTCATATGTAAGAAGTACACCAGGCTGTGTGATCATGAGGCGTTGACAGAAATAGGTATCAGAAGTTCAAAAACAAGCAATCAAATTGACGTGAAGGAACATAGGCAACGTGGAGATCCAGAACCCACTTGTAGGATAATTGGACAGTCCCTCACAGAAGGGCCACATGAAAGGGATGATAAATTCAAGGTGCAGTATGGCACTGATGAAGCACATAACTATCTACTAGTTCTTTAATATTTCCTCCCCTTAATAGTATGGTCTTAGTCTCACCTCAATAATCTTGTTAGGTCTGTGTATGTTCATTTGTATAATTAAGATAGTTTGATGCATGAAATCCAAGAGAGAGAAACCATTCAGAAATAGCAACGGAGTAATGATTCCCTGAGGGTATGAAAAGGGGTGGGGGAAGGGCGAACTGATGGCAATGATGACCTACCAATAGCAGAGTGGTAGCTGAATGGATACATTGGATAGTGTAAGATGCTGCAATCTATATATAATATAACAACAAGGGTTCCTGGGGGGTAGGGTGGAGGAGGGAAAGGATAAATGGGAGCTGATGTAAAAAAGTTCAAGGAGAAAGGAAATGTTTTGAAAATAGTGGTGGCAGCAATTGCACAATTATGCTTGATCTAATAGAACTATGGATTGTTAGAAGAGCTCCCAATAAAATAGAACAAAGTTAAAAATGAAAAAAAGAAAGCAAGAATATATGAGGGGGCTTTAAAAACTTTGTGGAAAAGTCTTATTTTTTAATTCTATTTTTTCCCATGAATTTTTTGAAATACCTTTGTGTGTATATATATATATATATATATATATACACATATATATATAGATCAGTGTTCATTGGTGGTTATCAGAGATGGGGATTGGGGAGGATGGGGGGTTGGGGGATGGGGGAAGCCTTCAAGATACTAGACACTTGTTATTTTTGGTGAAAGTAAATATCAACTATGGGTGAAATGCACACACTTGACCAAGGTAAATTATGTCAATGTACAATCTATCAGGGAGTTATGAGGATGGGGCCAGGGAGGGAGAAAGAGCTGATACTAAGGGTTCAATAGAAAGTAAATTACTAGAAAAGAATGAAGGCAACATATGTTCAAACATGCATGATTCAATTGAGGTAGGGATTGTGATAAGAGTTGTATGAGATGTGTGTATGGATTGGGATAACAGTTGTATGAGCCCCTAATAAAATGTTAAAAAAAAAAAAAAGAGTTGTATGAGCCCCCAATAAAATGATTTTTAAAAATGAAAGATAAGTACATAATATTGAAAATCAAGGTTGAGTCAAGCTGACATGTATTGGGGGATTAAATTCAATTCATAACACTTATCCAGGTGTATATATGCCTGTATATATGTTTGTGGTAGTCAAGATTGTGTGTCAACTTGGCTAGACCATCAGGCTCAGCTTGGCAGTTATGATATATCCATCCCTCGTAGTGAGATTTTATATAATGATAAGACCTGCGATGAGAAGCCAACCAGGTAGAAGGGATTTTCCTCAGAGGGGAGGAAGGGTGACATGATCCTAATACATATGGACATTCCAGCACAGCTCTTTGTCTTTTTTGGGGTGGGGGGATGGTCTGGATCCTGTATCTGGTTTTTCATCTTCTGATAAAAACAATAGGATGTTAATGAGTCTGGATACAATCAACAGGATTAGGTTATATTTCTTTTGAGTTATAAAAGACATTAAACAAGAAAGTAGTAATCTGAGGGACCTAATGCCACCAGTAAAGGAGAGCCAGAGGCAGAACATGTCCTTTGGACCCAAGGTCTACCTACATTGGGAACCTCTTAGACCCAGGGGATGATTGATACCAAGACACATGGAAATCTACCAGCCTCTACCCACAACTGTGT